GGAGATTTGTAGCTCAGGTGGATGAATTTTACGGAGTACATTGTATATTCTTTAAGAATCTGAGTGACGAATGTGTGTAAAAGGTTAGATCAGCGTACTGTAAACTGCTTTATCAATATAGGGTTTCCTCAGGTTCCTAGTATTCTATCATAGGTGTCTCTGAAGCATAACCCGCATATTATGGGTTTGAAAATAAATGCAACGTACTACATAAAGATCATCAATCAGTTGACAAAATAGTGTCATTATCGAAGAAGAGAGTAGGGACATGCATTGCACATGTACGTCCACCGAATACCTGGATGTGCCGTGACGGTTCGTATACGGATGGGTTATAAATTTTGTTATAAAACTTAGTATTACTTTGTCTAATGCTATAACAGTTGGGTTCCAGGTTTACACGTATGGGACGTCAGTTTACCTTAACGATTATGTACACTAGATCCCTCCCAGTGTTTATTCTACAGGACGTCAACACAACTCAGACCAAGAACACGTGATTACTTTTACCACAACGTTAATATTTTCCCACACCAAAAGCCGACACAATCCACAACAATAAACAATCAATAATAAATGTGTCCAAGTAATAAGGATAAGTGAATATATAATTTATCTGACACCTATCAGACTATCTAAATGTCTGACTAAGCAGATAACCAATCATGATCATTCTCGCACACACATCAGATTTCTAGGGGGACACTGACCTGTCTCATTTAGTAATGTATTTCCGGGTCTGAGGCATGAATCTGAGTAGGCTCTTCACTGAAAAGAAGACGAATATATAATATGCAAGTGTTTCAAGTGTTACTTAGTAAATACATCAGTAAGCTACATACTCGTGTAAAGATCGTATTTCATGACTATCTTACAAAATCTGACTTGACGAATGAAAATATAACCAGATTTGCAAATTCATTTATTCGACCCGTCATTTGTGAAAGAATATAAAACTACCATTAACACAAGGTTTCAAACTGATAATTCAAAGACGTAGCCTTGTTCTTTTTTTCTAAAACTAAAGGTTAAAACAAGAAACTTGTTATAAGTGAAAATGGTTGTGAAACTAAAGTGGACATTTAACCTGCTTTTAAAAACTCTGGTGAAGGTGCTGTTACTATGACCTCTCTTAAGTATTTTCATAATCACATGATACGACTCTCTTGGAAAAGTTTAAGGATGTACAATAAAGAAGTGTATAATTAAATAACGAATGTGTGAGGAGTGGTTTGGCCAAATGGGTCAGTTATGCTATGCTGTAGAATATCGAAAAGCTACCATTTCACAGTACTCACTATGCTGAATAGTTTAAGTTCAAATGGTTCTAATGGTTGTAGACGAAATAGAAGAAGCTTTCGCTTAGCGGGCTTCCGCATCTAGTAGCAGTGAACCACCAAGACCTCCAGGCAGGAACCTAGGTACATTACCGACAATAGGGAAAAAAGAACTGGTGAATCATAATATGTTATCCTTAGTCCTTAAGCATAGGTCAAGTTTCCTCCTAAAGAACCCATGGGAAGTCGCTTGGACTAGTTCAGTCGGCAGCGAATTCCAGCATTTGACAACTCTTAAAGAGTAGAAGTTGTGTCTACAATCCATTATGCTATGATGTATCTCCGATTTCTCGGTGTTACCCCTTCTGTTCGTGTTGGAGCTAAAATTAAGCAGGTGTTTAAGGGGTTGTCGAGAAGTGTTAAGGATACTGTAAGCCATTAAAAGGTCACCTCTAAGTTATTGAGGGTGCTCTTCGTAAGGTTTAAGTTTGAATCATCGAACTGATTTCGTGGCTCGCCGTTGAATACACTCTAGTGTCCTTATGTTTTTGGAGTGAGGGAAGAAGTACTATGTTTCCGTACTCTAAATGAGGACGTATAAAACTGTTGAAGATTATGAGGAAAGTCCTACCGTCAAACTTACCAAGAATGCTCTTCAATGTTATTAGTGCGAAGTTTATTCGAAAGGCATTTCTGTCACAATTAACGTAGGACATTAAATCGTAGGGTACCAGGACTCTAACTATTTTTCGACTCGGGATACTACTAGAGAGGAGTTTCTTAAGTTGTAACTGTAGTCTGCAACATGTCACAGATGGACTAATTTACACTTTGAAGTGTTAAAGGTAAGTCTGTTATCGTCTGCCCAACTTTGAAGTCGAGTTAGATTCTCCTGAAGTGCCTGTATACCGTCTTGGTTGAGTATCTCTCTCTTCAAAGTTTCGAGTCATCAGCAAAAAGTAGTATGTCTGACGACACCTGATGTTGAAGATCATTTATATAAATCAAGAAGAGAAGAGGTCCTAGTACTGAGCCTTGGGGGACCCTCACTAGGACATTCCATAGCCTGAGATAAAGTGAAGTTAACCCTGACCTTAAATTGTCGATTTTTCAGATACTAAATGGGCCAATCAGTTAGAGGTGGTCTAATAGCCAACCGTTTGAGCTTATTGATAAGATATATATGGTTGACCTAATCAAAAGCTTTTGAGAAACCAAGGTAAATGATATCAATCGATGTATGTGATTTCTTCAGAGGGTGATCATAGCAATTCGTATAATAGGCACCGAAAAGGGTTTACTAAAATGGCTAGCACAAAGTACTCAGCGCATTCACATAATCCGAAAATCGCGTTGAGATCCAACTGACCTATCGAATCTGGGTGGATGTACTGATATCACCAGACACTAGTGAAATATTCATATTCAGATTTGTGTGGTAAGGACAGAAGGCCTACGGCCTATGTTATTCCTTTTCTAGTATGCTTCTGTGAGTGTCCAGTCTTCTCTTGAAAGTCAATTGAAGGTGCGGACACCACTGCTTCAGGCAGCAGGTTCCAAGTATTGATGACGCGGTGTGAAATCCTGTATGCCACGGGTATTTTGTTCGTTCTTGGCTTTTGTACTCGCCTGCTATGTCCTCTGAGGTGCCCCGATCTAGTGGGAAGAAAGAGAGAGAATAAGTTAAGTCCGAAATCACTTCTCAGTATTCTGTACATCAAAATTAGATCTTCCCTTAGTCTGCGATAGGACGGAGTAAAGAGGTTCACTTTTTCAAGCCGCTCTTTATATGATAAAACTCGGAGTTCCGGAATTTCACGGGTAGCTGCCCTCTGTACTTTTTCTAGTACGTCTGAGTCACCTTTTAAGCAGGGGCTTGCAGCCTGAACGCCGTTCTCTAGCTTAGTCCTCACTAAGGATGTGTATACTGTGGTGAAAATGGTAGTATCTAACTTAGTGAATGTCCTTTTTAAAGCCCAGAGGGTTCGAAACCACTTAACTGCGACCTCCCGGCAATGGGCCGTCATCTTAAGATCATTACTCACTGTCACCCCTAGATCCTTATGAGACCGGACTACGGGTAATGACACATCCCCTATGTTGTACGTATTAACCTTTGAATCCCCCCAAGTGCATGTAAACATACTTTTCCGGGTTGATAGGCATCAGCCACTCTTTAGACCAGTTTATCATACTATTTAAGTCTGCCTGAAGAGTAAATGCGTCTTTGTTTCCAGTTACTACTCGCCAAATTTTTACTACGTCAGCGTATAATAACATTGGAGACTGTACTATACTTGTAAGATCATTAACGTACATTATAAAAAGTAAAGGACCTAGGATGGAACCTTGGGGTACTCCACTAAGTACTGGTCTCCAGATGGAGCACTTGGAATTTATTCTTACTTTTTGCTTACGACCTACTAGGAAATCTTTAATCCATTTTAAAGGAGGTCCGGAAAAAACCAAGGTTTTCCAACTTCAATAGCAGTCTATTAGTTGGCACCTTGTCAAAAGCCTTACTGAAGTCAATGTAGACAACATCCACTGAGTTTCCGTTGTCTAGCGCATTAATCCAGAACTCCCTATCTATAAGTATGTTCGTTGTGCAGGATAGACCCTTTCTAAAACCATGTTGTTCCATGTTCAGCGAGTTATTGGTTTCCATAAATGCCGTTATGGTCCGTTTGATTATCCTTTCCAGTATTTTAATTACAACACTGGTGAGGCTTACGGCTCTGTAATTCGATGGAACTTGTCGTGGACCTGTTTTATGTATGGGAGTGATGACTGCATCCTTCTAGTCCATAGGTAACACACCTTGGTCAAGTGACATATTGAATATCACAGTCAGTGGGGCCACGACATATTGGGCAATATGTCTCAAGATTTTGGGGTGGAGTTCTTCTGGACCTGTTGACTTCTCCATGTTTAGCGTGCTAAGAGCCTCAAGCACATCGTTTTGGTCGAAGCCGACGGTGAGCAGGTGGTTTGTTGACTATGTATTTGGGTCTGGTTCTTTCTCTAAGGAAGGTTCCCGAGTGAAAACTGCCTCAAAATATTCGGCCATAGCCTCTGCTTTTTCTTGATCTTCCTCTATCATTTCAGATCCCCTTCCTACTTTAATTAAGTTGGGAATCCAATGATGCATCCTTGTTCTGTAGTCTGTACGAGAATATTCTCTTGGGCTGCTTGAGTACAGATTGTGCTAGCTGCATTTTATATTTTCTTTGAGCTTCCCGAATTTTTGCTATACACTCAGCCATGAAGTTGAATAAGATGACTGCATGGTCACTTCTCCCAAGTGGTGGTAATTAAGATAATGAATTGATTAACTTGTTTTAGTTCATCGTCTTTATACTATTAAAAGGGTAAGATAAAGGGATTGGTTGACCTGTAATCTGTCATCACAACGATATCGTGTATTGGACTAAGAATCCAGGTCTCTGTCCTTGGACGGAAGCGCTTAGAAGGGTCTGTGACGATGTAATGCGTTCGGTACCTCGCTTCGCCAACATCTGGTTTCGAATATCAAATTGACTTGATCTTACGCTTGTGCCATTGCTGAATCTTCTCGTTTGCTTTTATTATTAGACGTAGGTGTGTTATATGCGTTTATGGAGTCACCTGATCACTTCTCTTGTCTCTTTTCCAGTTACACACTGTTCGCACACTCCAACTTACAGACAACGGGGCCTCTGGTAATGGGTTTTACATGGTGACATGGAGTCAAGTGACGAAAGACTATCGAAGGTCTCATTTACTCACCGGATCATCGCTTCTTCAGTTGGTGGTATAATGACAGCGTTTGTTATGACGCCTCTGGATGTTGTGAAAGTCCGAATGCAGGTAACAATAAGCACAGGCCTTAATTTTTGATAGTCTTCCAGGGCATACTCCGAAACCAAGTGTCTCATTTATTGTAATGGACTAGCTGAAAGCCTCTCCACCTGCCCGTTGAGCCGAAACACCTGTTCTATGTCTTGGTCAGAACGTGCTATGAAGTGTGCAGGGAGGTGGAACTTATTTACCTCGAACGAATCACATTGTTGTTCCACGTGCATCCCTCACTATAATAACCAATCTTTTGTTTCATTTTCCTGCCGCTCCCCTAGCGTGTCAGTAAGTTTTGATGCATTACCTTGCCTTTTTCAATTTTAAGTCCTCATTTCATATTAGGAGTCGTGTAAAAACATCTTTTGTTGTGATCAAGATGAGATTATGACCTGGATAGTGGTTGTAGATAATATATTGGCTTCAAAATTTGTCTCCGTTGGCGGTGATGAATGAAACATATTCTGTTAACTTCGTACCTATTCTGTCGCCTAACCTCTCCAGTGCTAACAGAAATTAAGACTTGGCACTCAAGTGTTTTGGAAGTTTATATTTTAAAAATTCGTTTATTCAGGTAGACCATAGGAATCAAAAATAGAACAAAGTCATTAGTCTACCAAAACATGAGACGTTTATATAAAATAAACAACATGAAAGTACAGTTAGGTTGGGAGACAGGCGCAACAGGTTACTAAACACCTGGTCAAATTAGAATGACATGTAATGGGTATACAAAAATAGGTTGCATAATAGTGTGATTACGATTGCCACAAAATTTACACTGATGTTTCGACATTTTTCGATAAATGATACGGCTTCATTAATCTTCCTGATTAAACATTGAGCAGAAGCAGCTGTTTAACGTCATATCTTCACTGTTTATCTCATGCACACAGCACTTATTCTACTGCAAATGTAAATTTGATCGATAGAGGAAAATCCCTATTATTGATTTACAATGATAAGAAGGTTGCGACTGGTTTTCTGACGAGTGACCGCACAACCTCTGTCATGGATTAAACAGCACTAGTGTATGTGTACTGGGTTTCGCAGTAAAATGTATTCGGAGTAACTTATTGGTTGTTTAGAAATATGTTGTTATTTTAAGTGGTCAATTGTAGTACTAGTTACCTTTCAGGAATCAAATAGTATGAATGCATGCAATTTGCAGTTATTTATCGTGCTTGTTTAATATATTGTTGGATGAACGTGTGATTGTCCTTGCAACATAATCTCGCAAAATCGTCCCATAGTTCTCATAGTTGTTAGCCTCACATGAGTAAAAATGAAAGAAAATGTCCTCGTAAACCAGAAGAATAGGTAAAACTGTGGGACTAAGAAGTTTCGTGCTAGTTCAATTATTCTACTTAGGCTGTGTATATGGCGGGGGACTAATGTTAGACCACGTTGAATTAGTTTTATCCAGGTACGTTAAGATCCATAATTAGTTGTTTAAATTAATCAGGATACAAAACCGCACTTTTCCATAAAAGTAGCTATTATTCTTGTCGAAAATAGAGCAGACTCCATCTTATAAGAATCTTCTAAAGTTAAATTAAGTTCCGCTGTAGTCGGGTGCCGAGTTATTATGAGATGCCTTTAAAAATGCTTTAACAGATTGCCGTGCGAAATGAATCCATTTTAAGTTTAATCACTGAAATTTTATAAACATAATTTCGTCGTTAATATCAGATTTCTTTAAAGTTTTCTAAGCCTCTGGTCTAGTTACTGCCACCATGTTTGTGATAGGATGTTAATTTATATTCAGTGTTGAATAAAAGCTCAAACTAAAGCAGTTACTTACTTTAGGGTTAGACGTTTTGCGGGATCTTTTTATGAAGTCTGGTTTATAGAAGAATGAGACAATACCAATTGTTGCCCCCAAATGCCCTGGTACAACCGAGAATGAAGAAAGTCCATTCTCCTTCTCCAAATGCTCTCACATGGCCACGCGTATACAACCACTCCCACAAAAGTTCTACTCACTGCCTTCTCATGGCGAGGAGTGTTGTTCACCAAATTGACAGGACGAAAAGCGAATGTCCGGCTCCCTAACCAGGTTGGTGGATATGGAGGATCCATCTACGGGAATTGGAAAACCCTGATTCCAAACAAGTGGTGCACATGGATTCTAGGATTTTGAGGGGACCAATGTCATGGCCACTAGCTACCATGGGACTGCATCTCCTGACGTTACTCTACTACCTTGTGGATCAAACCTTTAAGTCGAAGGCTTCAGGTGTGGCCCTCCAAGAACATCACCTGCTTCGTTCTGAGCATCCGGGCAGTATCACAGCCCACACAGAAATCAAGTGATTTGTTTGGCGCATATGTTTTCGATGCCTCTTTGTACCAATATTTATGTGTTCAAATAGAAATAACTCAACAAGTAGACCAGAGTAGGTGACAATTCCATACACTATTAATTCGCTCAGTATTTTGGGTACCGTCTTCATTCGGTTTTCAACGAGTCTCTCCGTTTTTTTTCACTACCGGATGATCATGAACTGCAAAACTAGTTACAGCTTCAAATTTATAAACCTGATGTACACTTAAACCAAACATTTCCACGGTAAAAACAGTTATTCAGTCGGTCATCATCAAATTAGTATAGTCAGAGAAAAATAGCAAGATGATTAGCAAAGGCATCGAAGTAATGCCATGGAGTCATTAATGTTCATTTGAAAACTATTTCATGGGATAACGATAATCCATAAGGGATTATTCACTTAACATGTGATCCAAAAAGTCAATGACTTATTTATTTGATAACTCTCGTTTTTCATTGTGGTCAGTGGAGAGTTGTTTTTTATTGGTTAATTCAAACTTCAACCCTATGTAAAATGTTGGTTATTTTCTTTGTTATTAAGAAATTCTTTATTTTATCATGAAAATTTTCTCTAAAGGATACCGTCCTCAGAATTATTCGTAATGAAGGTATTTTATCTCTTTGGAGTGGACTCTCCCCAACACTGTAAGTTAGAATTGTGTTGACCAATATTATATAATTACAGTGTTATGACACTTCCTCAAACTGTTATCTACTTCACTGTCAATGATTGGCTGAAATATCATGTTGGATATACTTCTAAGACTGTCAACAAATCACCAGTAATGACAAATGGATCTTTCCAAAACTTCATCTCCCCTAAAGATTTCCTTCCTCCATTAGTTGGAGGTGTGTCTCGAATTTTCGCGGTAATGGCTGTATCACCAATAGAATTGTTACGTACAAAAATCCAAGCTAGGAAAGTACTCTACCGAGATATAACATCGTTAGTTGTTACAACAGTGAAACAGGTATTGCTGTGTTTCGTTATACTGTAAGATAAATTTGATAATTGGTAACATATTTCTTGGTTTATAGCAGTCTTTTGTAAATTTACTATTACAGACATGTAAACAACTGCACAGAAATAAGGTTAATCAGCTCACTATCCACATACAAATTGGTGTATTCAGTTCAGTTAACTATTTATTGAGTTTTAAGACTCATGGGTTTAATTCGAAATTAATTATTATAACTCATTTAATAGGTACAAGTTCATATACTCACTTTTCAAATACAATATTTATGTGAGGGCTTGTAACACTAGTCGGCTCTGTAATCCTAAATAATTGGAGTGTGATTGAAATCCGAGACATTTTAGTTGAACTCCAAGAACCTCAACTACTAAACTTCGTACTTAGGATATGATACGACTTTTGAATGCAGTTCCCGACCGTTGTTGTAGTGGTCGGGCTTGCTCATTGTGATGAAGCAACCGAGCTATACTGGCTGGAACAACCGTTCCTCAAGGTCCTACCATGTCAGACAGGTCGGTTGAAGAGCGGCATGGCTAAAAGCAACAGACTCAAGGTCCGGAGGCGAAGTTGTACTGCTGACTGTATAAAGGTGTGACGGCAGTAAGATGTTTCTTTCAGACAACCAGCACAGCAGTGATGCTGCCTTCCCACAAGGAGGGCTGGGGTTAGAAAAGGCCGACCCTAAAAATGCACACCTCGCCTTATCCCGCAGTTATCTTTCTCCGGCAGTAAGGTTTCAACAAGTATGGAGCTAACACAAAAATACTTATAAAAAGGTCTTGTGTGACCGACCTCAAGCAGTTTTCCCTTGGGCACTGCGGTCACGCTCTCAGGTCACTAAGACCACCTCTAATCCAATTTCCTTTTCAGGTACCTCCAGAAGAACCCTTCCACGGTGTGGGCAACCGGGAAGTGATAACCGCTCTCATACCTCTAACAGCACTCAAGACCACTGTATTCATAATCAACCTCCCCCTTGAATGCAGTTTATTATCTTTTCTCGTAGTAGCTATAAACGTTGCTTATAAGTAATTTAGTAGAATATAATCTCCATTCGTATACTGCTGGGATCCTGGTAGTTTATTTTAATTGTAGTTTCTTAGTTTCTCGTCATAGTGATACCTCTATTAGAGCGCTTCAGTTCCATGATAGATTGTCGGTTAAGATAGCTTATGGATTTTCCACTTTAAACAAGATTTTTATGTATTCAGATTTCGGTAGTCTTTTAAAGCCATTTCGTAAATGTAATTTTAAATCAACTATTTTGACATATTGTTTATTACTAAGGATGGTCTGAAAAGTTTGTGGTTAGGTGCTGGACCAACTCTGTTACGTGATGTTCCTTATTCTATGGTATTTTGGTTAACTTATGACTATATGAAATCTGGGTTTATAAATAAACAGTTAAGAACGCATTTGTTGTCGAATAGTGAATTGCCTGCCACGTTTGACAGAATTCACTTTTCGCATGCATTTGGTTTTGGAGCAGCTGCTGGTTTTGTAAGTGATTTATTTAATATTTGTTTATTTCATGCAAACATTGGTTTATAATGTGGAGATTAAATTTATGGGCTAAAGAAAAACATCTGGACAAACATATTTAAAATCGTTTGTTTCATTCTCGATGCTATTTATAGTATAGTTGAATGTAGATGCACATCGTGTAGCAGAGAATTTCATAAGTTTTACTGATTTCAAATTCATTGAAAGAAATGTCATATATATGCAAGTAACACCAGGTATTTCTCAGCTTTCCCAAATTAATGTGATTTATCACAAACCTAGGTTTCTACATTATCCCATAAAGTTCTCATGGATTTTTCTCTTAAACACCTAACATAGTTTAGCACTCAAAAATAATAGATTGAGATTCTGATAAGTTCAAATTATATCACATCTTGGCATTTTGATCAAGTAACATAAAGATTTTTTCAAGTGTTTTTAATTATACTTCCAAATATTTAATATTGTAAAGTTTGTAATCTTTTATTAAAATTTCCTTTTTTTATCGTTAAATCAGTAAAATGTTAAGCATTTGTAATTTGACATTAGGAAAAAGCCTCAAAAACCAAACTGAAAGTTACGTCAATTATAGAACCCATCTACACCATTGTGTATTAAGCTTCTTAAGTGAAAGGATTCGGTTTTTTCCATAGATTTAAATCTATGACAATGTAAATAAAAACCAGTACTATGAAAGGACTTGTTTCTATCGAACCTCCCACATGTAATGTTCCTACAAATGAGTAATTCGATTTCTCGTGTATAATATATATCATATCACCATTGTAATCTCTAAATCGTTGTATATCTCATGCAAACACTAATTGTTTTCTGATATTCTTAAATTTCAGATTTCTGGCGTATTAACACATCCATTCGATGTGATTAAAACTCACAGACAAGTAGATTTCGGAAAGTATTCGGTTTCATTTAGTAAGTTCATCAAACAATGGGCCTGTTTATTAGTTTTGTGCACAACAGTCGTTCGAATTTATCTGTAATTTATATCAACAACACTCCAATAGAGTTCACAGAACTGACAAGTTAGCAAAACGTTACGAGCATTAAATTGTGTATGCTTAGCAAATCTTTTGTGAAGACAGTATAAAGAGTAACATGTCATTACTAGTCTATTGAGAAGAAAGTAGTGAAAATTCCCACTCTGGAATAATGCGAGTCGACCGAATCGAAATAACTGTGGCATCAATGATAGTGAGAAAAACTAAACATTGGAAATACGACTAGAGAAAACGGAGTAAGATGGTTTATATGAAAGAATACTGAAATACGAATTTTAGGGGAAGATAGGGATACAATCCATTTGTACTGTTATTTCTGCTTCTATCTAAGTCATTTTTTACAACGTCTACAATCACTAATCGCTGTTGTTGCGTGGACTCGAACCAACGTGGACCAGTGCGACAGTCAATAACTTCTTGGATTAATCTCGTATTTTTATTTGGCTACCCCTAATATTTTTCGAACCTATTCTTACACCAACTAATATTGCAGTTCTAGATAGACAGTGTTTGGTCCAGACAACCTCAATCGATGAACATTTACTATCTCACCAACCAATTTGCAATATTCTTGTAATACTTACGCCTGGTACCCCTCATGGAGGAACATAGGACATCTACCAGCATCCTCCACCTTTTCATAATTTCCTGTTCAGATGGATGCTAGATTGTTCTCTCCCACAGTAGGCTGTTACTGATGGTATCCACTCACCAGACGTTGAGTATCTTTTGTGTAGACAATTGCTTATAAATACTTGTACTGTTTCGATTATAGTTGTGGTAGTCATGGAAGTTTTAGCTCCTTACAGTAAAACTTTCTTGACGTTCGTATTGAAAACTTTGACTTTGATGTTGGTTGAGTTTTGAGTTCCATACGGTATTCGATTGTAAGAACGCGGTCCGTGTTTTACAAATCTTCACATTTACGTCTACATTTTCTAGAGTTTCTCCATCGATTGTGATTGGGTTAGTGTTCTCTGTGTTGTATTTCAGGATCTTGGTTTTTCCCTTGTGTATGTTGGGGCCTATTGCTGAAGAGGCTTCTGCCACAGTAGTTGTTTTCGTCTGGATTTGTTGGTGTGTATGGGAGAGAAGGGCCAGATTTTCTGCAAAGTCCAAGTCGTACATGCAAGCTGTGAATTGTATTCCGTGCTCTCCCTCATATATCGAAGTCCTCATATTCCAGTCAAATGGATAGGAAAGCACTCAGCTGCGTCACAAGGCAAGTCATCACTTGGAATCCTCAAAGCCAAATAAGAAGAGGCGGACCAAAGAACACGTTACGCGGAGAAATGGATAAACAACATTTGGACAGAACTAGGAAGGAAGGCCCAGGACAGGGTGTGTTGAAGAATACTGGTCGGCGGCCTATGCTCCACTGCGGGTAGCAGGCGTAAGTAAGTAGGGTCCGACGGGTTTCGCTGATTCCATGTACTTATATTATTTGTTGCTCTGGTTGTTAGAAGCGGAATCAGCCTATGAATCTCGGCTTTCAACACGTGGCATCATAATTCTCTCTTCAACTCCCAGGACAGAGTTTAAATTGTATTCTGGTTAGCGTTTTTTAGCAAGGTTGTTTTCTACGGGATGTGGTTACCGACCACAACACCAACCCTCCCTTACGTGGTCTTGGGACAGGCAGTAGCCCTAGAAGAGCTACAAATGAAGTTATATCCGTAATACTAGTGATTTAATTTCACAATTTCTTACTCGGTTGTTCGACAGTACATGAGCAACGCTTCAAAGATAAATACATGATCAGAAACCTGCTACCCACGCATTTCTTCTATCTTCGTTGCCATTAAGTAATATAAAACTGACTGCTGCACATTACACACCCTTTGGTTGGTAGACGGTTGTCTTCCTCACCCCCTAAGTGATGCAAAATTGAGTCAAACACCGAACCATCAGGGCTGAGACTTTGAGTATAAGTATAGTGCTCGACCAGCCGAAATATTTCATCCCCTATAGCGTCTGGGTGTTGGTGTAAATTAGCCATAATATAACTTTATTTTTTTAATGGATAAACGCATTCCAACCCTGTTTACACTGTTACTTAAGGTGTTCAGAAGGTCTTTCAGCATGTCAGTCATTATCGACAATGGCACCCTTCACTAAACAGAATTATGAAATCTCCACAGTCTATGTCAAGAACAAAATCTCTTATTAGATCAGTTCCTGAAAAGTCGGACAACAGAAACGTTATCTCTAAATAATAGAATGTCTGTTTTGGTCAGTCAGTCAGTAACAACGTAGAACTTCGTACGTACGTACATCAGTTCGAGTTGCCACACCACATTAGCACAGAGATGCACTTGTCGATTCAAATCCCGTAGTGGTAGAGGTAATAAGAGTGTAAGCAGTAATCGGGAAGATTAGGGTTTGGAGATGTTATTTAAAGAGTATAATACAGTGAAATAAATTTGGGAAGAGGAAAAAAGGGACATGAAGAATTCAGGAGATTAGAATTTGGGAGAACACAAAGAGTGGATGCACCTGCGCCATTGCAAACGATTTTGAGCCATGTCATTCAGGGTCTCTAACCATCGGTTGCTATCATCTCGTGGTCCCCAACCAGGTAGTCTACACCTACCAACATGACTCAGTCCACTTGTCAGTGACTTCATGGACTTATGCCATGTTTTGGTTTGGCCGCCTCTAGCTTTCTTCCAACCTACTCCTATACCACTGAACATAACACGTCGAGGTAGTCGGTCGTTGGGCATACGTAACACGTGTCCCAGCCATCTCAACTGATGAAGTTTCACTACTTCATCAATTGATTTGCCATCCTTACCTAGTAGCCGTTTCCTAACAACTGTGTTACTTACTCGATGGTCCCAGGATATACGAGCAATGTTTCGAAGACACCTATGATCGAATACTAGTAACCTACCGGCCACGTTTTACTGCCATAAAGTAGGACGGGACGAACTGCTGAGCAGTAAACACGTCCTTTGGTTGATAGACGGATATCTCGCCTACGCCATAAATGACGCAAGTTGGCAAAAGCTAGTCGAGCCTTCTGTATCCGTGCTGAGATTTCGTCACACACTAAACCACAAGGGCTGATGAGACTTCCAAGATAAGTGAAGCGGTCGACACACTCAACTACTTCACTCCCTATTACTAGTTCGGGTGTCGATGTAACCCAATTCTGAAGCAACATTTTGCATTTCGAGGGAGAGAATCGCATCCCGAACATGCTTGCATTGTTGCTTAGAGTGGTCAGAAGACTCTCCATTTTGTCAGCGTCTTCACCAAATAAAACTATGTCATCAGCATATTCCAAGTCAACAAGTGAACCTCCCGGTAGAAGTTCAACCCCTGTAAATTTAGATGAGGAAAGTGTTATCTCTAAAAGTACGTCAATGACAAAGTTGAACAAGAATGGGGAGAGTGGACAGCCCTGACGAACACCACTTGAGGTGATCAATTCTGATGACAGTTCGCCATAAGCTCTCACTCTACCAGTTGTGTTCGAGTAGAGAGCCTTTATAAGGTTAATGTACTTCTTTGGTACTCCTTTCAGTGACAAACACTGCCATAGAACCTCACGATCAACAGAGTCGAATGCCGCCTTAAGGTCGAGAAATACTACCATTGTGGGGCGTCTGAATGTGTGTCTGTGTTCCAGAACCTGACGTAGTGTGAATATCTGGTCTATACAACCACGTCCAGGTCGAAAACCAGCCTGGTTTTCTCTAGTCTGCTCTTCACGAGCTTTAGTTAGGCGTCGAAGTATGATTGAGGCTAATATTTTAGACACTATATTAGTCAAACTGATTCCTCTGTGATTGTCACAAGAGGACTTTTGTCCTTTCTTATAGACTGGCACAATCAGTGATTGAGACCAGTCAGATGGGATTACGTCCAGTTCCCAAATTCTACCTAAGACCTCGGTTAATCTCATTGCTAATACTGGACCACCATCCTTAAAAATCTCAGGAGTAAACCTGTCAGGGCCTGCTGCTCTCCCTCGTTTCAGATTTCCTATGGCTTTTTCAACTTCGTAAAGGGACGGAGGACCTACATTAGCTTGCCATTCAGGTTGACTGGAGATCGTTAGAAACCGAAATGTGGCTGAAGGCCAGTTGAACTGATCCCTAAAGTGTTCTGCCCATCGATCCAATCTCCTGGATTGAGAATGAATAATATGTCCATCTTTCTCTGAGATTGTTTCGCTAACGGTCGGGTTCCTAATTCCGGTTTCGTTAACGAGTCTAAACAGTTGTCTGCTATTACCTATTGCCGCTGCCTTTTCCATCTCTCTTGCTTTCGCTACCCACCACTGTTCGCGATCATTGCGTAGACTTCTTGTCAGCTTGCACTTAAGCTGACTCCGCTCTTCATTATGTTCAGAGCCAGGTGGAATGTGTTTCCGAGCATTTATCAGTGAGATAGATGCTGCTGAGATCCAGTGTTGCTCCCTAACCTTCTGGTTTACCTTACTAGCAGATATCACTGCTGTTTCCACAGCTTTTCGGATATCATTCCATGCTGCATCGGGGTGGGCATCACATACATGGCTGCCTAACTGTTTTCCTAGTTGTTCCTGAAATATACTCTTAGCTTGACTATCATTAAGTAGGGCCCTAAGAGGTTTCCTTGCAAGATCTTTCCTACGTCCAGTAAGACGCAAGCAAACGCGCGCTCGCACTAGAGCATGATCTGTATCTAAGCATGTGCTCCAGAACGAGCGATAGTCTTCTATCGAGCCCCTCCATCGGTGGCTGATAGCGATGTGATCTATTTGGGTCCAACGTTGGGACGAATTAGGGGGTCGCCATGTTAAAAGATGTTTATCCTTATGCTTAAAGTTAGTATTTGCAAGGAACAGGCGGTTATCTGAGCATAGCTGCAACAGACGGTCGCCATTATCTGTTCTTTGAGCCACGACACCATAGGATCCACCTAGGTGTCTTTCCTTATCGCTTAGTTTACCTACTTGAGCATTAAAGTCACCGGCCACTATTACTACATCCGAGCGCTTAGCTTTTCGGAGAAGGTCCGAAAGCTTTCTGTAAAACTCATCTTTTACATCATCTGAGCTGCAGTCAGTGGGAGAATAAGCAGAGACGACGAAGAGGCAACGACGAGTGTCCCTATCTTTCCGGATTCTTACTGTTCCGTTCAGTCGGACAGCGCACAAACGATTGTTTACTGGGATCCACTCTAAGAGAGCTAGTTCTGCCCTAGGACTCAATGCTATACCTACGCCGGCGAGGCCACGGGAAGCAGAATCAGGGCTTCCAGATACACGAAGCGTAAATCGAGTCGGTTCTTTATTTTGGCATGGTGAGGTCAAATGAATGACGCTACTTGGATCCTGTATGCGCGTTTCGGAGACGCAGCACACATCGATGGCGCGAGATTCTAAAGTTTTAGCTAAGGCAGCCTGCTGTCCTATTTGGCAAAGTGTTCGTACGTTAAAAGCTCCTACGTGTAGTTTAGAGCGTGGTTTCAGGAGACCAGGAATAGCGTTCCACGTACTCGAATCGTTTGTCCTAGCGGTGCGAGGTGATAAAGAGACGTGAGGAGGGTTAGTCGGGAGGATAAGAGAGGTATTAGGAGGTGTAGGAAGGATTTGAATGTGACCACCTTGGTCTCTTGTGCTGTTACGGGTATGAGGGCTGATGTCACTTCCCGGCTGCCCACACCATGGAAGGGTATTTCTTGAGGAACCTGAAAAGGAAATTGGATTAGTGTTGGTCTTGACGACCTGGGAGCGTGACCGCAGAGCCCAAGGGACAACTGCTTGAGGCCGGTCGCGCACGGGCTTTTTGTGGAAGGTTTTTGACGTGTTAGCTCCGTTCTTCAAGGGGCCTTACCGCCGGAGACGGAAATCCGTGAGGTAAGGTGAGGTGTGCATTTTTAGGGTCGACCTTTTCTAACCCCACCCCTCCTTGTGGGAAGGCAGCATCGCTGTCATGCTGGTTGTCCGAGGGAAACACCTTACTGCTGTCACACCTCTCTACAGTCAGCAGTACGACTTCGCCCTCAGACCTTGAGTTGCTGCTTTTAGTCTTACCGTTCGCCAATCGACCTGCCTGGCATGGTAGAACCTGCAGGAACATATGTTCCAGCCAATATAGCTCGGTTGGGTCATCACGATAGGCAAGCCCGACCACCGCGTCAAGGTAGCAGCTTCGATCGGGAGTTAAATAAAATGGGGATAGTACGTAGCACCGACGAAAACCACTTGAGGTTGACATTTTGGAAGAAAATATTGTTCGAAAAAAGAAACTTCATATAGTTTACGTGCTTCAGTGAACCCTTTAGTGATATACACTATCAAAAACCTCGGTTCAAGCCATATCCTGCCTACCAGTTAACAAATACAATTATTGCCGGACGTCATTAACTATGTTCATGTTCTAGAACCTAATGAAGGGCGGATATTGATCGTTAGATTCATGTCCAGGTCGGGAAATAGTCTCATTTCGCCGTTCACGAGCTTTAGTTAAGCGTTGAATTATTACTTAGACTAACATTTTAAACACTCAGTCGAATCAATCCTTCCGTGGTCATCACAAGAGAATTTAACCCTTGGATGATCATCAATTGAGACCAGTCAGAATGTATCACGTTTAGTTCCCAAAATCTAGCTAACATTTCAGTCAATCTGAATGCCGAAACTTGACCATCATCCACAAAAATCTTCGAAGTTATTACATCGAATGCAACTGTTTCCTCCCATTCAGACTAACTATGGAACTTTCAGCTTCAATATTGGTAATAGTTGGGTTGGTCATATTGATTTTCCATTCAGATTTTT